TTCATCTGAGGATGCGGGAGCACTGTCCCCGCATCAGCCAATCCTCCCTCCACCCTCCAGCTCCCAGCAGGGCTTTTCCTTGAGTTCTCAAGCCTTGAAGTCATTCAGCTCCATTTTCGTGGCTCCCTGCGTTACCTTTCACCGCACTTTCTGGTTCCCCACTTGGTCGGATAAAAAAATGCACAAACCTGCTGTAACGATTCCAGGTCAAGTTCACGAGGATTTCAAAGCTTGTCACGGGCATCCGATGAATCCTCACCACTCTTTTTAAACATAGCTGGAAGGAATAGCATGAAATGGTGAGTCTGCCTAGGTGCAAAGAGTGTGAGTGTGAATCTCCAAGCTGTGTGACTTTGGGTAAGTAACACCACCTCTCTGAGCTTCAGCTTCCTTTTCTGTAAAATGTGAGGGAATGAAGTTTGCTGAAGCCCCACTTTTATTTTTCAGAGTCTATACATACATACATGGTATTCTCAGATGCACAGGAAACCCAGTGGAAGCTGCAGAGTTCTCCTCTGCCCCCAGCCCCCCAACATACCCAGCTCCTCCACCAACACCCCCAGGATGCATTTACTTCAGTCCCTGACCCACACAGATGCACCATGGTCACCTGAGTCCATGGTTCACATGAATGCTCACACTGGGGGCCGTGGGATTTTTGATCTGTGGAAACTGGGCTGGGAAGAACATGACGGAAACCCGGAAGCAGAAGAGGAGAACTGAATTTGGAGCTGGCTGGGCAGTACAGCTGAGGCACGGTTGGCGTGGAAGAGGGCTTGGCGAGGCCCCAGCTGCCCAGATAAGAAAGCTGTGCTCTCCCTGGGGGAGGCCGTAGGAAGCCACCAGGTCGCCACTGGAAGACATGCAGGGATCCAGGCAGATGGAGGCCTGGTAAGAGGAATGACAGGGGTGGCAGCTGCAGGAGCTGGGAGAGCCCAAGGCAGGAGGCGGTTGTATTCCCAGGCGGGGTGACACATTCTTGACCTGGGGGGTGGCAGTGAGAACAACAAGGTTTGACTGTGACTCTTCAGGCATCCCCATCTTGCCAGGAGCCATCTCCCAGGCCGTGCCAGGTGCTGACAAATGTGCCCCACTGGATCGCAGGAAGGGGTATCGGCAGGGCCAGGCAGCAGAGCCCACTGACAGGGACGGCCCAGGGTGGCAGGGTTGTTTTAGCTCCTCAGGAGCTGGACTTCACTGTGAATAGAATCATCCATGTGTTTTTTTTTTTCTTTTTCTTTTTCCTTTCTCGTTAACAGTGTAGGAGTTGCGTGAGCATGAATATGAGGCAGGAAGCAGGAAGGAATCTGCCGTTCACGCTTTCAGCCCAAGCCCAAAATGCACAGGCTCTGGGAAGTGCCGGAGCCTCAGAAGCACAGTGGGGTTGTGGGGGGGAGGGAGGAGGGGAGCCCTCAGTGGACCTCATCTCTGCAAGCCTGCCTTCTCGTGTCAGTCTCAGGATTGTGGCAGAACAGGGACAGCTCGCTTCCGTGCTCCGCCTCTGAGGACTGGCCAGGCATGTGCTCACACTCCCTGTGCACCAAACCCCTCTCCATTCTCTCAGCACCTCTGATGAAGGAGTCACCTCCCCGCCCCCACCCCCCCCCGCCACGTTTTACAGAAGAGGGAACTGACGCTCAGAGAGGTCTTGTTAGTTACCCAAAGCCACACAGCTTGGAGATACACAGCCAGGCTCTTCACACCTAGGCAGACTCACCGTTTTCATTCTATTCCTTCCAGCCAGGTTCTAGAAGGATGGTGAGGATTCATCAGGTGCCTGTGACAAGCTTTGAAATCCGTGAACCTGCACAGGAATAGTTCCAGCAGGTTTATGCCTGTTTGCTGAAATGCAGGGACAACGTGGGGCCCTGCCATGGGTGAATGGCTAAACTGTGGGACACAAGAGGGATGAAATACTACTCAGCACTAGAAAGAGAGGACTGTCCAGTCACGAACACATGGAGGAACCTCACATGCGTGGTACGAAGTGCAAGAAGCCTGTTTGAAAAGGCGACATCGTACAGGATCCAATTATATGACTTTCTGAAAAAGAAAAGGCTATGGAGAAAGAAGAAAGACCAGTGACTGCCAGGGCTTGGCAGGGAGGGAGGGAAGAAGAGGCAGGGCACACAGGATCTGCAGGGCAGTGAAAATACTCTGCGTGATACTCCAGCGACGGGCACATGCCATTGTGTGTTTGTCAAAAGTCCAGAACATGCATGAAGCCTGAGCCCTAATGTAAACCATGGATGTTGGATAACAACGTATCAGTTTAAGTTCATTGAGTGTAACAAGTGTAGCATTGCACTGCAGGATATTAAATAACAGTGCATCTTCTAAGTTCATTAATCGTAACAAATGTATCCTTCCTTGCAGGATGTTGAATGATAACAATGTATCAGTGTAAGGTCATTCATTGTAACAAATGCGCCATTCCCCTATGCCATGCTGATAGTGGTAGAGGCTGTGTAATATGCAGTAGTGGGGGTGGTATAAGGGAACTCTGTACTTTCTGCTCAATTTTGCTGTGAACCAAAACTTTTCTTTGTTGTTGTTGTTGTTGTTGTTTTAAATGAAGTATTACTCTGTCGCCCAGGCTGGAGTGCAGTGGCACAATTTCGGCTCTCTGCAACCTCCACCTCTAGGGTTCCAGCGATTGTCCTGTCTCAGACACCCGAGTAGCTGGGATTACAGGCACGAGCCACCACCCCTGGTTAATTTTTGTATTTTTAGTAGAGACAGAGTTTCACCCTGTTGGCCAGGCTGGTCATGAACTCCTGACCTCAATTAATCTGCCCACCTCAGCCTCCCAAAGTGCTGGGATTACAGGTGTGAGCCACCACTCCAGGCCAAACCAAAACTTTTCTAAATGATAAAGTCTGCCAAATATCTATCTATCTCTCCTAAAGGGCCCAAATAAAAATTTACATATATGATTGAGTTTAAAGCATTTGGGTTAAAGTTCAATAGCATCTTCTTTTTTTAAAAAAAAATTTAAGTTCCAGGATGTATGTGCAGGGGGCGCAGGTCTGTTACATAGCTAAACACGTGCCATGGTGGTTTGCTGTACCTGTCAACCCATCGCCTAGGTATTAAGCCCGGCATGCATAAGCTATTTATCCCAAGAGCATCTTCCTTTCATAAAAGAGCCAGTCGATTTTTTCTAAGGGATCTCTTACTACTCTTTATTACTGCATTTGTTGTTATGTTTTTCAGAGAGTGGTCTCGCTGTGTCACCCAGGTGGAGTGCAGTGGTGCCCTCATCATAGCCCACTGCAGCCTCAAACTCCTGGGCTCAAGTGATCCTCTACCTCACACCCTCAGGGAGCTGGGAGTAAATGCCTGAGCTTTTTGAGGCACTTCTAACTTGAAAACGTGAGATGAAGGAGCTGAAGCACCATCTGCTTTCTAGAATTGCCACTGGCAGATTGTCCCTGACGTCTCGTTACCATGTGGAGGCTGTGCCAGGCTGTCCATCTGAGGGACTTGGGCTTTTGTATCTTGAGCACAGCTGGGTAACTGAATCTTGCACACACTTTTACTGCTGGGACCAAATCTACGTGCATAAAACACTCTCTGCAGATCTACAGTGCTTCCACGAAAGCGGGGAAAGGACACCCAACCTCTTTAATGTTATGACCTCCAAAATGATGTTTGCCCTGCTTTTGCAAGCCTGGAGAAAGACAGGGCCACCCACAAGCAGAACTAAGTCTCCTCAGTGTCTCTGTGTATTAATGCTGTGGACACCACAGAGAGAGAGACAGTTGTGATGGGACCCTCACGAGTTGCAATTAAGCAGGTTGCCGCCTCACTGCTCCACCCGTTTCCAGCTGGGAGACTTGGGCCAGGCTTCTTTAAAGTGTCTGAGTATCTGTCGCCTCCTCTGTAGAACGCTGGCACATTTGCCTCTGAGGGTTGTTGTGAAACATGTTCAGCCATGATGACTTTGAAGGCGCTAAGCTCAATGCCTGGCACCTCGTAGCTCTGTGAATCACCATCAGTAATTATGTCCTGAGGAGGGCAAAGGGCGCAGTAGCAGTTACTGGGAGGCCTGAATAAGTCGCTTGAACACGGAACACCGTTTTCTTTATCTGTCAAGTGGGCGGGCATTCAGACGCTCTGGTCTGTTTCACAAGTTTGTGGCGAGGATCTCATAAAGCTTTGGGCATGTGAGGTGGCAACCACGTTTTGAGTGTTTGTGATGTGCGAGGCACGTGCCACGGCTCCGCTCAGGGAGTGCTCCCAGGGGCTGGTCCCTGACCTCCGTGTGTGTGCCGAGTGGGGTGGGGTCTGTCTTCTTCCCAGTAAGCGATGCACCGCCAGGCCGAACGCCCTCCTTTCTTCCCGCTGGACTGGAGCCTGGGAGGGCACGGACGTGAGGGTCAGTGCAGCCCGGGCTCCCCGAGCCCTCCCCGACCCTTAGGTGGACAAACACGAACGACAGAGAGGAGCAAGCGCACGCTGCCACGTTCTTTCTCTCAGGGAATGCAGAGGTCAGGGTGAGGATCCACGGGTGTTTCTCAAAGCATGGCCCACGGCCGCCCGCAGCGCAGTCGCCCGGGCTGGGCCTGGGCGGGCCCCGAATCTCCTCCATCTGCCTGACCCTTTAGCGAGCTGCCGGCTGAGTCCGCCGCACACCCAGATGGGAGCACCCGAGGGTCTGCAGGGTCTCAGAAGGCGCGTCCTGCAGGAGGAGCAATCATGGCAGGCTTTCCGGAGGAGGCGGCCTCTGGGCCTGGAAGAGGAGGTGGGATGTGTATCAACCGGCAGCGGGCTCCGAGAGGCCGAGGTCTTGTTCACTTCAGTGACACCAGGGCTTAGTAAACCGCCTGCGATGGGCGGCGCTCGACAGCGACTTGCTGAGAGCAGGAACGTCAGGACCGGGAACGGCGCGAGGGACCCCGGCTCAGGTTCCACACGCTCGCGCAGGCGCGCCGGGCCCACGCCCACTCAGGCCCCGCCCCTCCCACCACTGCGCAGGCGCGGAGCGGGTGACGTCACTGTGCGCCAGACTCGACCCCCGGAGGCGTCGCGCGGAGACGGCGTAGCCATGTTGCCGAGGACGGGTGAGGGGTGCTTCGGGGCGCTCGCGGCGCGGGCTGGGGAGGGATGGCCGGGACCGGTGACGGTCGAGGCAGGGCCACCGGGACTGGCAGAGCATGGGGCGGAATCATCGGAGGCGGGCAAGGGGATCGGAAGGCATCTGTGCTGGGTTCGGTCGAACCAGCGGCTCTCTCGGACCCGGGATCCCGAGAAAGCTGTAGGAGAGACAAAGATGGCGCGAGGGACGCCTGCCGTGCGCGTGGGGGAGCCCCTGGCCTGTAGGAGGTCCCTCTCTAGCGGGAAAAGCGCTGGGTGACTGCTCGCAGGCTTGCCTGGCAGATAGGACCCCGTGCTCCTAGTACACGAGGTGCGCCAGGGTCTTTTACATGCCGGAGCCGCGGCGGTGAACAGGCCCACTCCCACCCATACTGCGCGAGCAGCTTGCACACAGTCCGTGCACGGAGGGTGATCAGTATGCTGGCATGGTAGGGTGACCTTTGGGGAAGCCTGCTCTGTGCCAGCAGGGAGCTGGAGCTGGAGACTGGAGTGAATGAGACCCACGCTGACCCAGCAGGGCCCACCGCCTGCTGGGGGAGCAGACACACAATTACAGAATAGGGTTCAGGCATTTCACACGTTAGTAAAATGTCACCTTTCATTATTCTAATTATTCCTCACGGTTTTGGAACTTTCCAAAGGGTAGGCCCTGCCCTTTTGTTTTGCAATGCCTGCTCCGCCTGCCAGGTAGCCCATTGCTCTTTTAGGGGGAGTCGGGGTTGTGGGATTAATTGACTCCAGAGTAGGGGCCACAGTGCCATATTTCTGTGTAACTCTGTGTGGGGTGTCCTGACAGTGCTGGCGGTATTCCAGGCCCTCTGGACTGTTAGTGAAAGTAGCTCATGTGGCAGCCTTGTAGTAATTGTTCTAATGTAATTGTTTCAGTTTGAAGAAAAACCCAAATGGTAGGGGTACTCTTTCTATTCCTAAAAGAGGGTCATCTGCCTGAGACTGAGCACACAGTGAGGGTTTCCTGGGGGAGGTCAAATCCAGGCTAGACCTGAAGGGGAGCAGAGGAGGTACAGGGCTTCAAGGGAGAGGTGGGCAGGTCAGGTATACTAGGGCCAGGGAAGAACAGCCCTTGAGCCACTTTGGATTCAGTGAGGAATGACAGGAGATGAGGCCAACATGGTCATCTAATTACTAGGTCCACACTAATAAAGGGATTGTAGTTGGTAATCCAAAGTCATCTCTGGTTTACGGATTACTTAGTTTTAAGGCAGGCTTACCTGACTTATGACAAGAATAGAGGAATCGTAGTTACGTAAAGACTGAGAGGGCAGTTTCTCTACATCAGCAGAACTCTAGGAGGGCTTGTTTACAAGGCGTGGGTTATATTGTTCTCCCCTACTGCTACAAGATTAGTAACTGGATTAAATAACTGGATTAAATATTACGGCTATGTTTAATTTACTCTGAACTTTAATAATTTCTCCTATGTGGTGGCACATGCCTGTAATTCTAGCTATTCAGGAGACTGAGGCAGGAGAACCACTTGAACCTGGGACGTGGAGGTTGCAGTGAGCCGAGATTGTGCCATTGCACTCCAGCCTTGGCAGCAAGAACGAAATTCTGTCTCAAAGAAACACACACACACACACACACACACATACACCACTTATCATTACATTTTTTGATGTAGAGACCAAAAGACCTCGATCTGGTCTGGCATAATTGTGAGCTCTGGCGTAGGAGGCTGAGTGTGTAACGGGAGGGGGCTTTCCACATGTGCTGTGGAATTCCTTTGTATGTTAATAAGTGGGAATCTTTTGTTGTAATAGATGTCTCCAAACAGGACATTCGTGAACACATTTGGGACTACATGGAATCACAGAATTTAGCTGACTTTCCCCGACCTGTTCACCACAGGATTCCCAACTTTAAGGTACTGACACATTCCTGGAGTATGTAAAAGGAAAACAAGATCTTCCTAAATGAGTAACACTAATAATAAAATTATTGTAGTGCTTCATGGTGGATCAGAATGTGGTGAGCAGTGAGTAGCGATGTGAAATCAAAACCATTTGGCAAGGGCAGTTCTTAGCATTTGGAGACCTCATTTACCCTTCACCTGGGGCCTCTTACTCTCTCAATGGGGTGGTTTGGTTGTTTCTAGGTGAAGTGGTGTTACTTGCTGTTTTCTGTTTGATACAAGGTAAAATACTTATCCTGGCTGGAAGCACGCTATTGCTGTGATGTCTTTTCACAAAATTGGCCCTGCTAAGAGCATTAGGGAGTGAAGGGTACTGAAATGAAAGCCCAGATGCTAGCGCCTTTGGAAAGAAATGAATGCCTTGCCAGCCTAACGAGGCTGGGCCTCAGTTTCCCAGCTGATCAAAATATAAGACAGCCAAAGATGGCTGTTCCTAACAGTGTTGACAGTAAAAAAAAAAAAAAAAAAAAAAAAAAAAAAAAAAAAGGTTCTTTAAAAGAGGCAGTGTAACAGTTCATAGTCTCTGCCATGCCTGTTTTCCAAGACAAAAAGAAAATGCTTTTCCAAAATGCTCTCTCCAGCCTGACGGACTCAGCTGTTCGCTTTCTTCAGCCCATCTTGTCTGGATTGTCTCTCCCCAGGCCTGGCTTCTCCCCAGCAAGCTCCACCTTCTCTCGTCCTCAGCTAAGGTGGTTCCAAGACTGTCCTGTCCCTTTGAAAAACTGCTTGTTTTGTATGGTTTTTGTTGTTACTGTGTTTTATTTTAATGCTTCTTGCCCTAGAGAGAGAAACATATCTTTACAAAGATGAAGGATGTAGAGAACATGTATAAATCTTTCAAAGTGAATCAAACAGGAGAGAGGTAGGGCATCCAGGTCGTGCTGTGGCTTGATTTTGGTGATGGTTACACAGCTGTGTTCATTTGGTGAAAAATCATCCAATTTTGTACTCATGATTTGTATTCTTTTTGCAACACATGTTTTACTTCAGTAAAAACTAAATTGGGGCTAGGCGACTTTTCTCAAATCCCTTTCTCCCCTGACTACTTCCTTAGATGTTCCTTTGGGTGACTGTTGGTGCCTGTCTGAGTGAGATTCTGGGTGGAGCTCCCCGGGTGGCGGTTGGCCTGAGGGCTGTTGTCCTCTAAGTAACGGGTGATTGCATTGAAAACAGGGAGCTTCTCATGCTGCTGAGCAACTCCTGCGCTTGCCAGCATTCAGAACGGCCAGGACCATAAAAGTAAATCCTGATGCTCCCCAGAAAAACGCTCGCTTCTTCGTTCTTGAAGTAAGTGCAACTCTGTCTGTTTGCCTAACTAGGGGTCTTACCTGGCTTGCCAAAACCTCAAAGACCTAGACGTTTTTGCCAGAACTCAGGAAGTTAAAGTGGACCCTGATAAACCACTAGAAGGCGTTCGGCTGCTGGCGCTGCAGGTAATTCCACTTCCGTGGGCGGAGCCGACCCCTGGCCGCCAAGGGGGACGCCGTTTCCAGGTAGCTGGTCGGTGCATACATCTGTCTTGTGTTTAGAAAGTCAGTGCTTCTGACTTCCTCCAGTACAGAAAGTGCCCTTGGTGGTGATTTTTCCAAAGATAGTTCAGAAGCGTTCAGCTGTTTAGCATTGAGTCAATCAGGAGTCCTGAATGTTTCTAAATTCGGAGATAAAGGCTATTGAAAACAGTGGCATCCAGGCATTGGCACAGGAGAGGGATTCAGGCAGAACCTGTGGTGTTCCAGAATTGAGGAGCTGGAGCTGAAATAGATGACACCACTTTGCCGTTTGAAATGAGCGTGCTAACAAGCTTGCTGAATACGCAGTCATTTGCTTCTGGGTGACAGATAGCCACCTGTCATGTTCTGATACTGTAAAGAGCATGGTTAAGAACTGAGAGATTTCTTCTTAACACTTAAACTTTTTTTAAATTCAGGCATGCTCTTAGAATAAATTGTTATTTTTTCACTTCCTAACCAAACAAAAACATGATGGCTTTGAAGCATTCTCAGTTTTGATGTGCTTCATCAGAAGAGGAAGACGATAACATATTTAGTTCTTTTTGCCACGTAATTCTTTGAAACATAAATCATGATTAAGAAGTCTGATGTGTTCTCAAAATATTCCTATTAGAGGACTGTTTCTCAGCTTAAAATACATAGGCCCCTTTTCAAGAAAAAAAAAAAAAAAAAAACCCAGGGTTGATTTAAATTACTTTACTGTAATCTAATTTAATATGATAAACATAAAACTTGGTATAAGTTTTAATGCTGATAGCTTTTATGCAACTATAAAAGCAAAATAAGCCTATATGTTAAAGGCAAACAAAACTATAAAATCAGTAACATTTCAATGACCCCATTAATTTAATGTGATGGGGTTGATGTGGCTTTGCTGAAGCTGGTCACAGCTGATCATGTGAGTGGTAGTACTGGACGCCACGAAGCAGGATTATTGTTCTGCCTTAACGCTGCGACGCGTTGTGTGCTGACTCCGTTCTCCCACCCATGCTGTCAAGTCAAACTCCCGAGAAGCCCTGGTTAGAGGGGCACTTTCCACACCGTGTGGTAAGGTGAATGGCAGGGTGCATTCTTGCCAGAGCTGAGAGGAGGGTCCTGTCCTGGGTCTGAGCTCATGTGGGAAGTCATTTTGGGTACTGATTGCAGTTCAGCCTGAAGAGAGACTTCCGTGTAGGCTCTTGCAGAAGCATGGCTTCATGTCAGCTTTATTTTCCCAGTTAACCATTTTAATAAGCTGGAAGTGATGCTGGCAGTAGCAAGGAAGGACAGCAGTCGGCAGTCACTCCTCTCGAGGCACAGTTCTGTCTAAATGTTTCCCTGTATTATTTTGCTTAGTTCTCCAGTAATCCTATGGGAGTCATCTCTGCTCCTCTGTGACACTTGAAGCCAGAGGCAGAGAGGCTCTACCTCAGGTTACCGCACATCAGTCTCGGTGCAGCCAGGATGCTGACCCAGCCATCTGATTCCAGAGCCAGTCCTTGCAGGTGTGAAGTTCAGGGTGTTCTCAGCTGTCAGCCCCTCAGAGCAAAAGTCAGAACCCTTGACCGTGCAGAGGTCAGCCTTAGCCAAGTCAGCCTGGGAGGGGAATGCAGCCCTGAGCTCCTCCCTGTTGCTTCGTTCTCAGTTATTTATTCAGGCTGAATAAATAACCGAGCTATCTCCTGGGATGCATGCTGGACACAGGGATGGAGTGTGGAGACACCATCACACATAAGATCCCTGCTTTCTGGTGCTTACAGGGTTCTCAGTGGTCTTTGGAAACTTTAAGGACTTAAGAATCAGCTGGGACACAGGTAAAAATCTACGTCACTGAGCCCCAGCTGCATTTGGGCAGGCAGTGGTGACATGCACAGCCTCAGGCCATACCTGAGGTGACAGGCACAGCGGCCAGTGCTGGAAGCATGCACAGTTTCCCAGGCTGAACCCCAGACCTGTGAGTCAGTCTCTAGAGTGGCATCAGACTCTGTTGAATGAGTTCTCTGGGTGTGCTCCAAGCACTCAGGCTTGTGGACCACTGGCTTAAGTGACACTTGCTAGCCCTGGCCACACTGGTGTCACTCAAGGAGCTTTGAAGACTGTTGGCCATGCCAGGTTTCAGTCAGCCTCTAGAGTGGGGTCTAGATCTCCGTCATTCTTAAAGCTTGCTGGTGTTTCTAATGCACAATAAAGGCTGAGATCCACTGAGCCAGGGGATGAGTAGGTTCTAGAAAAGAGGGAGCGATCCCCATCATGTGGCGCACAGGACCCCAACTCCACCAATGAGGGGAGCCACACTTCCACCACTCAGAAAAGCAGTGAGGTAGTTCCAGCTGCCTGTGTTGAAGTGCTTTGCTCTCGTGGTTGACAAGGCTTTGTTGAAATAGGCCACACAGGTGTTAATAGGTCTTTTATTGGTCTTGAGTTATCATCTGCTCAAAAACTAATATATATATATATATATATATATATATATATATTATATATATATATTTTTTTTTTTTTTTTTTTTTTTTTTTTTTTTTTGAGACAGAGTTTCGCTCGTTACCCAGGCTGGAGTGCAATAGTGTGATCTCGGCTCACCGCAACCTCCACCTCCTGGGTTCAGGCAATTCTCCTGCCTCAGCCTCCTGAGTAGCTGGGATTACAGGCACGTGCCACCATGCCCAGCTAATTTTTTGTATTTTTAGTAGAGACGGGGTTTCACCATGTTGACCAGGATGGTCTCGATCTCTTGACCTCGTGATCCACCCGCCTCGGCCTCCCAAAGTGCTGGGATTACAGGCTTGAGCCACTGTGCCTGGAAAAATATACTATTCTTTACATGAAAGATGTCTCAGATCTTATGATTGCCTTGTGGCTTACCCTTGCATAATTTACAGAGACATCCCAGCCAGTGGTTTTCAAACTTCTGTGTGCATCAGAATCGCTGGAAGGCTCATCAAAGCTCCCCCACCCCCAGAGGGGCTGATTCTTTTCTAACAGGTGCCAGGGGTGCTGATGCACTGGCCCTTCACTCTGAGAAGCCCTGTTGTAGAGGTTCTCACAATAGGCATGTAAGAACTGAATAGAAGGAAAGGGCTATTGGCATGTGTGGGTGTATTGATTATCATGATTACTGATCTCTTTGACTGATGTACTGAACGGTCCCACTAGATAGAATGTTTGAGTAAGTCAGGTAGTCATGCGGTGCAGTTTCTGATCACAACATTGTTGTCACTGTGTAGCGCTTGGTGCTGACAGCAGAGGAGCACAGGAAAGTCGTGGTTGGGATTTTGTCAGAACTGTCCTAAGTTTGGATTTCTGTTGTCTATTTTTAACTGTAACGATTTTGAATGGCAGGTGAGGTCAAATTAGCAAGTTTAGTAAACCCTCCTGCTCTTGAGAGTAGAGAGGTGCCAAATGGTGATGGTAAGAAAAATCCACCCACACATGAGTTAATTAGGTTTTCAAATAAGTAATTTCCTTGGCACACACCGAAAAAAAAAAAAAAAAAAATGCAGATAATAGTAATTGGCATCTTTTCTTGAAGTTGTAGAAGCATGTGTAAGAAAGTCCTATGGAAAAATTTAATTTTGTAATGTGTTGATTGTCTTTTCTTTAAAAGAACAAAAAAACATTGTTGGTTCCAACACCACGACTGAGAACGGGGTTGTTTAATAAGATCACACCGCCCCCTGGGGCAACTAAAGACATCTTGAGAAAATGTGCCACCTCTCAGGTAAGTGCTAGAAGCAACGTCCCCACCTGGGAGAGAACGAAGCCTTCCGGCGAGTTAGGATAGCATAAAATAGCATCACACAGTTGGAATTCATTTTTAACAGAGCCAAAATAGCAGAGATATTAAAGTGTTCAAGCATTCTGTGATGAATGGAGCCAAGTAGAAAAATGTGAGTAAATGGATTGTATTTCTGTCACTCTATTTGTATTTGCACGAAATTGGCAAATTATGAATTCCTTATTGTAAGAGAAGGGAAGACACGTGCTCTGGTTCTCTGGCCTGCCCCAGTGTTGACCTGCAGTGTTTAGTATCGTGTGGTTTTTCCTTTTCCCAGGCTGTTCATCAGATGCCACCAGAGCAACTGGGAGACAGCATGGAATTTCTAAAATGTGCTCCATTGGAAATTGCCTCACCAGTTCTAAATGAGTAATTGCTGACCGTGTTTATTTAAGATTTTCTTGAATGCCTCACAATTTAGTAAAGCTGAGTGTGTACATATCCCATTAGCGTGCATTATAATAAAATGTGTCATGGATTTTACAGTTAAGGAAGTCGAGTTTGGTGACTTTTTTAAGAATACTAAAGTAAATTCCAAGCCATCTAATGCCTAATCTACTGAGAATTAAAAAATAAGGCAATTCAAGATACCCTTTTTTATGGGATTTGCCACTTCAGCCTAATGTATAAAACTGGAACGTTTTATTGTTTACTTACTAGCAGTCTGCTTATTCCAAAAACAGAATTTGATATGGCTTATGAAATACATACAATAAAGTTAAAAAAAAAATGTATATATATATGTATGTGTGTGTGTGTGTGTGTGTGTGTGTGTAGAGAGAGAGAGAGAGAGGAGCAAAGGAAAAATAAAGGATAGAAAAATGAGACAAAATCATGGTGATGGTTAGCATTCACAAATGCAGATGGTCTTTTCTTTGCAGGTGGTCAATACCCACCCTCTGCAGCCCCTGTGAGTTGAGGAGAATGCAGGGCTTCTTGCAGTGTAGGGCTTTCTGTGACTGTCGGGAGACCCCAAGCCTGCACTGACCCATGTGGAACTTGTCATAGCTCTCACTGGCAGGCAGGGCCTAATGCCACATGAAATGATCAGCTACTGCCGGATAATGGCTGGAAATGGCTTTTTCTTGAGATTTGTATAAACCATGTTATGAGAATCATGAACATATTCAACTTCCCTGTTCTTTAAATGCAGGCCTGCATTAGTATAAAGTCATACACTTGGGGGATATTTTTTTAGAAGCGAGTGTATTGTACATAAAGATAGTGACCTTTAGGATTTTATGGTGAATCAATATACAGTGTTTACTGACCATGTCTTATGTGCTAAATGCACACATTTCATTATTTAAGTCCAACACTGGTCTGTCGAGGCAGAGGGCGGTATCCCTGTCTTACAGGTGAAGAAACTGAGGCTCAGAGAGCTCCAGCCTGCTGGGGTCTTGTGGCTCAGAGGCTCTGGAACCCAGTTCTCTGGGACCCCACCCCTGCATTCTCACCACTGTGCTCTTCTGCCTTATGGGGATAACCGATATGATAAATGTTAAGGAATCAGCAGCCTATGAATTTGTGCTGTCAGTTACCCTTGGCCACTTTTCTGGGAAAGAGACTGGGGGAGCTATGCCCTAAAATGGTTTCTAGAATGCGGCTTCCCCTGAAACGCCACATCCCCAGTGCTGAGTGTGCCTGCTTCGGTTTTGTCCAAGAGGGTGACTCAAACCCTGAATGCACTTTGATCATAAATTGTACAATGGGGAAGCAGCTGGAGTGAAGTTTTCAAATCCATCTCTATTGCAGGGTGTGAGGAACTACAGTGTCCCCATAGGCTTGGATTCCAGAGTCCTTGTGGATTTAGTTGTGGTGGGATCCGTGGCCGTTTCTGAAAAAGGTAAGATGAGCAAATGGGAACTCGGGTGTGACAGCTGTGCCTGAAGGTGGCTGCATGCCAGGCTTTCTTTGTTTGGCTGTCTTTAAAAAGTCGCTGATGATTTCTGCTTTCTGAATTCGCTTACCTGGTCCCGAAGCCACTGCATTTTTCAATAGTGAAGAATTGGCTCAGCCCACCCACTCCTGGCCCCAGCCCAACGTGTACAGCATTTTCAATTTTCTTAGCAGGAAAAATAAAGTGAGATAACTCTCTCTTCAGATGGTGACACATTTTCTCTCTGTTCTTAAATGAGCTGGAGCTGGAACTGAATTTCTTTTCAGTATGTCAGTAAATAGTTGGTTTTGGAGGGACTCCAGCTAATGGAAAAACAGTATGTTCTAAGCTTTGCTTTTATGATGAAGAGCAGCAGACTCCTGAACAACGTGGTGTGTCCCTGAGACTTCTTCCAGGGCTTGGTGCTTTGCCATGCTGCGTGTGAGGCAGGCTGCACTCGGTCCACAAGGCCAGGGGACCTTGTCAAGAAAGCAGGGTCACTGCGCCAGCCCTTACTGTCTCCGCCTGCAGGGCGCTCTCTTTTTCTAGCTGCCACTGGGGCTGACGTGGGTACACTGTTCTTTATTCTTTGTTTTCAGTGCATTCCCAGTTTCCAGTGCTTCCTCTATGTGATCAGGGCTTAGGACTCAGGAGCACACTGTTCTGGTGCACCTGCTGTGTGCCAGGCATGGCACACACTAAGATAGAGAGTGGTCTCTATCTTAGTGCACGATGTGTGGGTAAGGCAGACACAAGAGCTGGACCAGGATAGGACATGACATGCTCAGTGCTGGACACAAGTCGGAACTCACAGGAGTGGGAGGAGGAGTCTGAGGAGGGACCTGCCAGCCCGGAAGGGACATGTCCTCAGTAGGGGCCTCAGGGCTGGCTCCTGCATGCTGGTCACTGCCCAGGCAGAGAGTGCTGAAGGGTCCTCAGGCAGCAGGCTCTTTACAAGGTTGCGGCCCTTAGCAGCCTTCAGGCCAGACGATGGGATGTGGGCTCTTGGCAGTGGGAAATCGGCAAAGGTCTCCTCTTCAAAAGGAGCATCAGGTTCAGGGATATATCCAGAAGGAAGCAGTGTTTCCTGTGTCATCATTCAGATAACCCCCTATGTAAAGTAGTAAAGTAGCCGCGCATCTGCTTAGAAAATTCAACAGCACAGAGCGCTCTACCACACATCTTCCCTGTTCCTTCCCAGCTGCCCCATCAGGAGCTCCTAGTACAGATGTCGTGCATGGTAGCATGCATGTGAGATACAACATCTTTTTTTAAGTTCCGAGATACATGTGCAGGAAGTACAGGTTTGTTAGATAAACGTGTTCCATGGTGGTTTGCTGCACCTATCTACCCATCACCTAAGTATGAAGCCCAGCATGCATTAGCTGTTTTTCCTGATGTTCCCCCTTCCCCTGCCCCTGCCCTGACAGGGCCAGTATGTGTTGTTTCCCTCCCTGTGTTCATATGTTCTCATTTTGCGGCTCCCACTCAGGAGTCAGAACATGCAGTGTTTGGTTTTCTGTTCCTATGTTAGTTTGCTGAGGATGATGGCTTCCAGCTCCATCCATGTCCCTGCAAAGGACATGATCTCGTTCCTTTTTGTGGCTGCATCGTATTCCATGGTGTATATGTACCACAATTTCTGTATCCAGTCTATCACTGATGGGCATTTGGGTTGATTCCATGTCTTTGCTATTGTGAATAGTGCTGCAGTAAACATACATGGTATGTGTCTTTATGGTAGAATGATTTATATTCCTTTGGGTATATACCCAGTAATGGGATTGCTGGGTTAAATGGTATTTCTGGTTCTAGGTGCTCTAGAAATCGCCACACTGTCTTCCATAATGTTCAAATTAATTTACATTCCCACTAACAGTGTAAAAGCATTCCTACCTCTGCACAGCCTCCCCAGCATCGATTGTTTCTTGACTTCTTAATAGTCACCATTCTGACTGGCATGAGATGGTATCTCATTGTAGTTTTGGTTTGCATTTCTCTAATGATCAGTGATGTTAAGCCTTTTTTCATGTTTGTTGGCTGTATAAATGTCTTAGTTTAAGCAGTCTCTGTTCATGCCCTTTGCCTACTTCTTAATGGGGTTGTTTGGGTTTTTTTCTTGTAAATTTGTTTCAGTTTTTCATAGACTCTGGAGATTAGACCTTCATCAGACAGGTTGCAAAAATGTCTCCCATTCTTTAGGTTGTCTGTTCACTCCAATGGTTTCTTTTGCTGAGACACAGACACCTTATAGCAGTTGTCCCCGCCTTTTTGGCACCAGGGACTGGTTTCATGGAAGACAGTTTTTTCATGGACCAGGGAGGGGATGGTTTCAGGATAATTTAAGAAGATTACATTTGTTATTTGCTTCGGTTCTGTTATTCTTACATTGTAATATATAATGAAATGATTGTACGACTCATAGAGTCAGTGGGAGCCCTGAGCTCGTTTTCTTGCAATTAGACGGTCCCATCTCAGAGTGATAAGAGAGTGACAGGTCATCAGGCATTAGATTCTCATAGGAGCATGCGACCTAAATCCCTGACACACACAGTTCATACAAGGGTTTGCACTCCTATGAGAATCCGATGCCACAGCTGACGGAACAGGAGGCAGAGGGCAGACAGTAATGAGAGTGATGGGAGCCACTGTAAATCCAGAGGATGCTTCACCTGCTCACTCCTCACCTCGTGCTTTGCTGCCTGGCTCCTCACAGGCTGTGGACTGGAACTGGTGTGTGGCCCAGGAGTTAGGAACCCCTGTCTTATAGTTTGTGTGTGTGTGTGTGTGTGTGTGTGTGTGTGTGTGTGTGTGTGTGTTTGAGATGGAGTTTTGCTCCTGTTATGCAGGCTGGAGTGCAGTGGCATGATTTCAGTTCACTGTACCCTCTGCCTCTTTGGTTCAAGCGATTCTTTTGCCTCGGCCTCCCAAGTAGCTAGGACTATAGGCATGTGCCACCACGTCCAGCTAATTTTTGTGTTTTTAGAAGAGATAGGGTTTCACCATGTTTGCCACGCTGGTCTCGAACTCCTGAGCTCAAGTGATCCACCTGCCTCTGCCTTCCAAAGTGTTGGGATTACAGGCATGAGCCACTGTGCCTGGCCTATAGTTTATAGGTATAGATTTATATACATCCCTTTTCTACATTCACAGAAGGGACACTGCACACACACAGCTCCATGCCTTGCTGGAGAATGTGTCTCACAGCCCATTCCCTGTCAGTGCAGCAGACTGGCCTCCCCGTCCCCTGTATTGAGCCGTGGCAAGGTCTTCTTATATGACTGCACCTCGGTAACTGAGCCCACTCTGGCCGATGGTTGCATATGTTATGAGTTATCTCCAGACTTTGCTTTGGTCTTTTTCCTTGCAGATCATGCTACAGTGAAGTATGTCCTGTGGGATCGTCTAGGTGTGCCTTTGAGGCTATCCAGGGGCCAATTCCTCAGAGGGAAATGACTGAGCTGAAGGGTAGATTGTCAGCCTTGATGTTGCCACCAGAAGGGCCGCTCACTTTCGGCCCCCAAGGGTGGTACCTAGCCTCTTTCCCCGCTCCCTTGTTCCTAGCTGGGATGATCCAGCGTTGACTCAGCAGTCTGCTAGTGAGCAGTAAGCAGTCTCCTTTTCCTTTGCCTTGTACTTCATTAGGAGTCAGCCAAGCATTTCTCATGTTTGCTGCTTATCTGCCTGTCATTTTCTATGGACCATTCATATCCTTTGCTATTTTTCTGTTGAATTTTCTTTCCCTTGTTCCTTTGCATGCACAGTTGAAGGTTTTGAATTGTCAGAGTAACATGACCAGATGTGAGTCTTAGACACAGCAGCACTAATGCAGGCGCTCTGGGGGTGATGCTGGTGGTGGTACACACAGGCCTCAGTTTCTGAAGTGCCTCAGGCTTCTCCTAAGAGGAACTGCAGATTGTCTGTGGGGGCCAGAAGGCATTTGACGTCCCCTGTCTTCCTGCATTTTTGTCTCTGAATAGCTGATTTGGCTAGAGAGACTGTTAAACCTCGGTTGCATCTTAGCTGCTCTTTTAGGCTCAGATAGTCCTTTTGTTGTGCCACTAATGACAGATTCTCAAAGCGGCTTTACTACTGCTTCAGCCATCCCTCAGAAGCCAGTGTCCAGTGGCTACTGTCGAGTGCTTTTTCAGAAGCAAGGCCGTGCCGTCACGAAGTCCTGACTTCAGAGTAGCGATTTTCCCTCCAAGCTAAGCTGATTAAACGTATTTTCCTTTTAGTAGGAATTTGTTCTTAGTCTTTTTGAAAACTGTTGATTGTTTTTAGATATGAGTCTTGCTGACATAAAGCTTACCTGTTTCCCTTTGTGACATGCTTAAAAGCGTCAGTGTTGATGTCGTCGTATTTTTGCCATCGTCCATTTGCCATGCTGTTACTCCTGTTGAATGCCCAAGAGTCCATCGTCATTGTGGGCTGCTTGTGGGCGTTTCTGTGGACATTTCTATAGATGGGCCAGGGATATTTTTTCTCCTTCTGCTGGCCTTGGTGGAAAATCTACTTCTCAGTGATGCCCCGGACCACACAGTGATACTGATTCTCGGTTGTCTCTTAGGCTGGAGAATCGGGAAAGGAGAAGGCTACGCCGATCTGGAATATGCCATGATGGTGTCCATGGGCGCCGTCAGCAAGGAGACGCCAGTGGTCACCATCGTCCACGACTGCCAGGTGCTCCTTATGAGGGGGCTGAGCAGAGCCACTGCCACTCTCTTCTGAGGGAGGGGGCAGGGAAAAAGACTGTTTGCTACTGAACCTTGCCCTGTCACGAGTGGTGTGGGGTCAGCCGGGGCTGGACTTGCTAGTTGTGCGCTGGCTAAGCCTTAGCCCTAGATTGGATTTGGGGGTGCTTCTCTGGCCAGCCTCACATTCCCACCGGGCCGGTGTAGCGTGCACGACTGCAGTGGCCCTCCTGTCAGCCCCTTTATCCCACAGAGGCGCTCCTGCTGGCTCCTCTGTCCCATAGTGGCATTCCCAACGGCCCCTCTGTCCCACCCCCCAGGTTGTGGACATCCCTGAGGAGCTCCTTGAGGAGCACGACATCACTGTCGACTACATCCTCACGCCAACCAGAGTCATCACCACAGGCTGCGAGCGCCCAAAGCCAATGGGAATCACCTGGTCCAAGGTGGGTCACAGCCATGGCCAGCTCTGGCCTGTAGCTTAGCAGCCACTCCTCTTTTAAGTGTTTCTGTCTGGCACAGGAGCTGTTGGCAGTCCCAGCGTGGCTGTACATTACAATTACCCAAGAAGCTTTTGAACAATTTGGTTCCTGAATGACAGTCTCCAGGCCCAGGCCTAAGAATCTGCTTACACATCTCTGGGATTCTAAAAAGCAGCTAGGTTTAAAATCTGCGTCTGTTGACAGCAGAAATGGCCACGTGGGCCAGGAGGGCAAATGCCTGGAAGTTTGTTTGTCACCTGGTTTTCGTTTTTAACGTTGTTTTCTGCCATCCCGGTTGCAGCAAGCTCTGCCTGGCCGCGTCGCATTGGTCTTCCGTTTTTAAATCCAGATTCTTTTCTTACTGAAAGTCTGGATCTTCAAGCAGAGCTAGCCCGAGCAGAAGGCAGTACCAAGCCTTTGGACATTTGATGCATGTGTGGTTTTTATCTCCAGGTGAGGTAGTGGCACATGTTGAAAATTAGTCTGCAGTAGGAGCTTGACACTCTGCAAGCCAGCCTGTAGGTTATAACACTCTATCTCCTGGCAAACAGCTAGAATTACCGAGAAGACCTTTGTGCTGCATGTGGACAAAACTATTGGTCAAATAAGCATACTTGTTAATGCCTCCCATTCTTTAAACCCAAATCATTCAGCGTCTGAGAGTATCCTTCCTTTGGGCATGGAAAATCAACAACATCCACCTCTAAGGGTGAATATCAAATACTTGCTATGTTTGCCACAGCCTAGTGGGGCCTTTCCCTGCAGGTGTCCTGGGCAGGCACTGTTGGGGCCTCCCGGGGCATACGCTCCTTCTCAATTGGCCCTGGATAAAAGCAGAGGGGAGCAGCCTTTGTGACCCAGAAGTGGATGGGCAGCTCTCCAAGTGTCCCTGGAGCACTGGGGAGAAGGTGGTCACTGCCCTCCCAGGAAATGAAAATATCCCTTGGTGTCTTTCTAAAGCTTGGGGCCACCTGTGAAACTTGATCCACAGCTTCCTTGTAAGTGGAAGCCAGTGTACCAGCTAGAGCTTGAGGGCGGTGATTCCTCAGAGCTGAGAACAGGGTGCCGGGAAGGTGGCACAGGGCAGTGGCCACTGTGAGGCCGCGGCAGTCCCTTCAGGCCAGCCCTTCGTGGAAGGGACACATTGTAGCCATGTTAGGGGGAGCCCGGACAGCCTCTCCCGGAAGAGAGACAGGAACAACCTGCTTACATTCTAAAGATTTTAACAAGAAAAGTAGAAAAGTAGCAACAAATGAGTCATTGGACTCGTTAGGTGAATATAATCCTTTTACAGCAAAGCATACCAAACTCAGCCACAGTTTCCTCAGTCAGCGCTATGTGTGTGTGGGGTGAGGGGGGTGGGGGAGGGCATTGGGGGCTTCACTGTTTGTCAAGACCCTCTTTCAGGAAAATGGTCATTGTTTATGAGGCCTCAGCAAGAAACTCAAACTTCTAAAAAGCCAGCTCTCATTCTGGGTCTCGTCCTCAGTTTTCCCGCCTGGGAATCCCTTGGCAGGGTCAGAGGAAGTCAGTTCCTTTCTCCAGCCCCAGCGTTTCGGTTACTCTTGCTAGCCATGCAGCCAAAGTGAGTCTGTATCAGCATTTGTTGGTAGAAAAAGAAATCCCTCAATTCCAGTAAGGATTTTGGATAAAGATGGGGGGCAGTTCAGTGCTCGGTTATAATACTGTTTCAAATGGACTTTTTGGCAAGTATTTGGTATACCTTTCATGATACAGTGATAATAGGTTTATAGGTTTTCGAATCCCAGAGTTTGCCTCTTGGGTATATTTCTGGAATATCTGGGATACAAACACTTTGGATCTCTTGATGGAGGTGGTGAGGGAAGTGGAAGCCATGCCTTTTCTTTACTCATTTTCAATCCACAAAGACAGCAGCAGCTGATTCCCTGGTCTTTGTTCCAATCTTCCAATGGTTGACATCCTGCTCCATCTTACAGACCAGTCTAATACACACTGACTGAGTGCAGTTACTGTAACGACGCATCTCCTTGATTCACCGTCGACGTCATTGAGGGCTCTTCTCAGCCGTGTCTCGTGATTTTAAGGAAGGGAGACCAGGTGGCCAGTGAGCGTATTGCTGAGTTTAGCAGTCAAGAGTTTCCCACTTAGTAGTTCTCTCTGTAACCTCCAGCACACCCTCAAAGCCTCCTCGTTTGTCCTTGAAATCGGACACGGTCAGCACTAACTCCTAGCGAGGGCGCCAGGCAGTGCATGTAAAGTGCCCAGCATGATGCTTGGGAGCATGGCCACAGCCATCGTCATGGTCACAAATGTGAGGCAGGTTGTTAATAAAGTTGAGAAATCTTCCTGGACACCATGCGCGTTTCTTCTTTCTCCGTGCTGTTGGCAGATCCTTAGAACAGACCTTCTGGGTAGCTCCCTGAGCCAAGCTGGCGTCCTGCACTTGCCTTCCTGTGGCTGTGGTTGTCACATGATGCCCTGGTGTGCCCTTTCTACCTCTTGGTGAAGGACAAGGAGGGAGGCACTGACCCGGCTCTCCAGCCCCGTGGCTGCTCCATACCGCCTGTGACTGTGCAGGTGCTCTGCAGAGACCACCCCCACCCCACGAGCAGCCATTGTTCTTCCTCCTCCCTCTCCTCTTCGGCAAACGAAGCCTGGTATGGTTGGGTAAAGGGCTGAAAGTGCATTCCAGTACCCTGCACCCTCATCAGAAACTTTGTGTCAGGAAGAGAGAGGCACAGAGACGTTCCACAGAAGGCGCTGCTTTTACTCCTCCCTTCTAGAAGGTACATTGTCTCCTCCGTCCTCGAGGGCCCCTCTGTCTCTAGGAGTGATCGTCTCACCCACAGACCCGTGAAACTCAAGGTGACTTGGCCACAAGATGCACAGCCACTGCTGCCCCATCCACTGGTCACTGTACCCTGAAAACCCAGGACTCCCTGAGCCTCCAGCTACGAGGATCTGTGCCAGGCTGGAAGTGATACCAGAGACCTGGACCTGAAGTTGGAACATGGTCCTGAACCTCTGGGCAGTTGTCCAGCTCAGGTGGTCTTCTGATCTCCTGGAGACAGTAATGCAACATCCCTCCCTGTGACAGCCATGTGTCAGGTGATCTGCAGTGGGCTGAGAGCCATTTGGCTGCCTTCGCTCTGTGCAGTAGCAAACTGAAAATGGCTGAAGTCCTTGACCCGTTAGTGTTGAGCAGCCCCGGCCGCTGACCAGTCTGCCTGTGCAGGGAGTGAAACGCAGAGGCCTAGCCAGTTCCCAGGGCTGAGTGGTGTCCTTTGAGTTACTGACAACAGAAGGACAGAACTTCCTGTTGAGACCTGTGGCCACCTGCTGGACCCAAGTGAGCACCTGGACAGCACCAGCAGGTGGAGCCTCTGGGGAGATGGGGGTGCTGCGGCTGCTGCGTCGAAGCTCCACACCATCTGAGCTGCACCTGGACAGGGAGATGGGCCACACCGCTGTCGTGTTTGTCATGTTTCCGGAGAGCTGGCCTGAGGTGGGGCATGGGAAAGATGGATGTTAAGAATGCCTTGGAGGTGGAGAGGAACGCAGGACATGGCCACAGACTCAGAGCCTCAGCTGCACCAAAGGCAAGGCCAGCCTGCCTGGGAGACTGAGGGCTCAGGAGGAGCGACTCGGGGGTCCACAAGCCCGTGGCCCCCATCACCACAGCCACAAAGCAGAGGAGCTTTTGGCCTTTGCCCAGTAGAAGGACTGTCAGTCACACACGTCTTCTCCCCCATCCTGTGTTCCTCATGGGAACTCCTATCAGCACATGGCTGATTACCACAGGGGTGGCCAGGACACCACAGACCGAGGTCTGTGCGTCTGACTTTCTCAGGTCGACTCATGGCTCCTTCATGAAGGAAACTGGATTCTCCTAGGGCCAGTCTTGTGTTTATACTCAAGGAAACAATTTCGTGCTTTCAAAGCTTGGCCCATTTTTTTCCCACATAGCCTTCTGGGGAGGGTGGTCCTCAGATGGCCACAGTAGGCTGCATGATCCATAGACACCTCAAGGAAAAGGATTTGGGAACAGGCCCAAAATGCTTCTCTATGAGCAGCACTCCTGGGACAGCAAAGCACAATTTCAGATTCCATATTAAAAAAAAATGTTCTCTGGAAATCATGCAGCTAACTGCGAACCAACCCCTACTCATAACTGGGCCAGTATGTTTAGAGTACTGAGAGAGGCTTTCATTGAAAAAGAGTTGCTATATTTGGCCCGATAATTTACCTTCTAGGAATCAGTCCTAAAGAAATATGTAGAAATTCAGATAAGGATTTACTGAATTTCTGTAGAAGATATGCAGTGCCTTAAAATGGAGGTGGGGGAGCCCATTGAAGTGCATACAGCCTTTTAAAGAACGTTGAGTGGCATGAGAAAATGCATGTGGTGTAAAGTAGCAAAGGCACAGTGTGACATTATACATGATGGATACGGAATTTCATATTCTGCTCAGTATGTTAAAAGGCAGAGAGAAAAGACAGGAGGAAATATAGCAGAATATTAACAGTACTTATCTCTGGGAGATAGGATTTCAAATGTTTCTACTTTTTTTCCCACAACAAGCATATACTAATTTTATAATCAATATTTAGGAAAAGCAATAGTAAATTTGTTAAACATCTACCAAGGTAGACATTGTGTCTGGGTGCATGTGAGCCCAGCCACACAGTAGTGAGGTAGGTATCTCTGTTACAGTGTGCTCAGTTAGTAGAAACGAGATTTCAGAAACCAAAACAGTTAAATGTGTGCCAGTTCTTAAAACTCAGAAACGTGTGTGTAGGTAACACTGGAATAGCCATCATGGAAAGCCCAGGCATGTGTGTGTGACGTGAACCACATGGCTGCTCTTCTCCAAGGGTTGACAGGAACCAAGTGAGACAGGAACTGCTGGTCCCATGCAGGACTCTGGAGCAGGTAGAGGGAGGCATGCCACTCCCAGGGACCTTTTAGTGACAGCCAGGCAGGAGCCATGGCATGCAGATGGAAGCTGGCATTTTACAACATCAGTTTTAGGGTGATCCTGTATGCCAGAAAACAGAAATTTTTTTTACTAAATAGTAACTTCCATACAAGTTGTACCATCCCTTCCCAATGTTGGGGCCCGGTTGAATGCAGTTCTACCTGTGATCAGGCCCCTTCCTTCGCTGGGAGATCCAGGCTTTGCCCCTGCTGTCCCTCAGCAGTCCCAGGAGAAGCGTGATTGAAGAGGTGACCCTACTGAGCCTTTATTTTATTTTTATTTTTATTTTTATTTATTTATTTATTTATTTATTTATTTATTTATTTATTTATTTGAGACGGAGTTTCGCTCTTGTTACCCAGGCTGGAGTGCAATGGCGCGATCTCGGCTCACCGCAACCTCCGCCTCCTGGGTTCAGGCAATTCTCCTGCCTCAGCCTCCTGAGTAGCTGGGATTACAGGCATGCGCCACCATGCCCAGCTAATTTTTTGTACTTTTAGTAGAGACGGGGTTTCACCATGTTGACCAGGATGGTCTCGATCTCTCGACCTCGTGATCCACCCGCCTCGGCCTCCCAAAGTGCTGGGATTACAGGCTTGAGCCACCGCACCCGGCCTATTTTTATTTTTAAATATAACAACGGACACCTTTGATCAGCTGTGTGCAAAAGGGTTTCCATGAGCTGCGTCTAAGAGACTTTGCCCTTAGAGATCGAGCAGAGGCTTTGGGGCCTGCCTGGCATTGATATTTATGGAAGGCAGCACAGTCCCTCGGCCTTCCCTGTGCTCTCCTGAGCATGCCTACTCTGTATGGTTATTTCACTGTGGCCATTTGGAAGTATCTTAAAGCATTTTCATCAGTGAACAATCAAATTTAGTCTCAGGCAAGAGAACTCTTTATTTGCGGTGGTTGAACTTATTATTAGAAATACTTGTGATGTGTGCCCATCTTCGCCAGCATGGCTCATCCCTATAATCCCAGCACTTTGGGAGACCATAGTGGGAGGATCACTTGAGGCCAGGAGTTCAAGACCAGTCTGAGAAATATAGCAAGACCCTATCTCTACTGAAAATACGGAACTTAGCTGGGTGTGGTGGTGAGTGCCTACATGTAGTGTCAGCTGCTTGGGAGGTGAAGGCAGAAGGATTTCTTGGAGCGGGGTATTCAAGGCTGCAATGAGCTATGAATTGTGCTCCACCCTGGGTGACACAGTAAGACCCTGTCTCTTAATGGGAAAAAAAAAAAAAGCCGAGGGGGATTCACAGATCGTCCTTCCAGTTGCCTTATCTTCAGGTCAAGTAATGTAAAAGTCAGACAAGCAGTTTATCCAGAATGGTAAAAAGCAGCATGTAGTTGCCTTAAGATTGGAGCCCAAGTTTCTGCTTTTTGAGCAGATTTCTGACTTTGAATCAGAATTCTTGAAAGTCAGATTTCGGATTCATATTTGAATATGAAGGGACAGGTTTTTAAACTTAAAGTTGATTTTTTTTTTTTTTTTAAAAGAATAGGATTAGTTATAGAAAGGCAAAACTGTTTCCTCACTTTTGAATAAGATGCAAAATGTTTCACTTCACATGGCAAATTGACAGAATATAACAACTGTCCCTCATTGCCAGCCAGGAAACATAGTAGCAGTGCTATGGACTCATGTGACCACGGCTGTCCAGCCACTCCGTGGCACACAGGAGGCTTTCTGTCAGCTGTGGCAGGGACTGGGCTGGCTGTCCAACAGACTGCAGACATGGCCAGCAGCTGGCAGAGGAGGGGTAAGACCGCCCCACAGCCATGGAGATGGTCTCATTAGCGCCTGTGGAGGAGGGAGCCAATGCGAAGCCTGGTCATCCTTTACCCAAAACACTGCTGATGAATAGAGCGATTTTACTTCAGTGGAACACGCTTCACATTTCCATTCTAAAGACCCGCCTGTGGATGCCAGTGTGTCGGTGCCGTGGCTGTCCACTTAGCTCAGCATGTGTGGCTAAAATGTTTTCATTCTTCAGCGGATTGTACACTTGCTGGCAGAATACAAGAGCTCTCTGTGATGCGCATGGAAGGACATACTTGTTTTCCCACGGCATGCTTCAAAACAGATTTCTGCTGCAAAACCCCAAGTGCGAAGCCTCGACCAAGAATGAGGTGTTACAGGACACAGATGGGAGGGGAGGTAACTCGGGGCAGGTGACGGGGCTGGGGCAGCTCCTGATGGACCCCGTCAGAAGAGCAGTGTTTACCTGGGGGGCGCAGCCTGCCCCCAAACCCCTACCCCTCACTGTGCCCCTTATCTCACCCCCACCCCACGGGATGCCCTCACCTCAAGGATCTTGGCGCTGTACTCAGAGCCAAGTAGCTTTTAGTTCTTCCAGATAAATGCATAGCCACACTTTTTCTCTCATTGTAATTGCAGCTTTAAATTTTATCATCTGTTCTCAATACTAAATCTGGTAATTAAAAAAATCCTTCAAATGATAACAGTTTATATCTATTTTCAAATGTCTCAAAAGAACACATAAGTGAAGTTTCTGAGAAGGTGGAATAGAGGCGAGGAAGGAGGTGGGGTTGCTTGGACTTGGTTTGTCTTTGAGATTCCTCGGGCCCCAGAGCTGTGTGCTACTGCTCCTTGAGTTGAGTCAGCACGGTGGAGGGCCCAGTGGAAGAGAAGTGCCCTGGATCAGGAAGGTACGTTGTTGCTGTGCTCGTGGCATGGATGTGCACTGTTTTCCCTTGTGTCTAAACAGTGGGAAATGTGGGAGCAAGTCTTTCTTTGTGGAGCCTTTCTATGACAGCTAACAGTCTGTCTGCCGTCCAAGACCAAAATGAGGTCCTGGGCCTGCCAAAGCTTCTGATGCAGCAGTGCCAGGGGGCACAGTGGCATGCCACCACGAGACTCACCAAAGCAAAGGCTTTCACGGGAAGGGCAGTGCCAGGGAGCACAGTGGCATGCCACCACGAGACTCACCAAAGCAAAGGCTTTCACGGGAAGGGCAGTGCCAGGGAGCACAGTGGCATGCCACCGTGAGACTCTCACTAAAGCAAAGGCTTTCACGGGAAAGGCAGTGCCAGGGAGCACAGTGGCATGCCACCACGAGACTGTCACCAAAGCAAAGGCTTTCACGGGAAGGGCAGTGCCAGGGAGCACAGCAGCATGCCACCACGAGACTCTCACTAAAGCAAAGGCTTTCACGGGAAGGGCAGGTGACTTTCCACCCAGCACTGGGAGACAGAGCCAGGTATGAGATTGCAGAGGACTGAGAGCTTTTAGGTTTGCAGGAACGCACTTGGCTGCTCTTAGGTGTGTGGGTATCTTCGTCACTCGGATATATTGATGCTTAACTTGGGACCTCTGCACCTCTTGTAGTTTGGGGGCACATGAATAGTCTTTATCGACCCGGGGAAATTGTACAGAAAATTGTGGGTGAGTCATTCTTGGGAGGGAACCCCAGCTCCTCGCAAAGGTTCCTCTCTCACCCTACCAAGGGTAAGAACCATTGCTCTAAATTACATGTTATTCTGAATGTAATGGGAACATTGATACTAGCTGAACGATTTAGTCTTGTAGAACAGTGGGCAGTTCTCTAACTCGTGCTGCCCCATACTGGGACGTTCTCACCTCTGTTGGAGGCCTGCAGGTGACCACAGCTCGCCTCTTGGTGACCATGCTCATGTGAAAGCTTGGTGCCCAAAAGAAAGATAAAAAGCATCTCTAAAGAATGAGAATTGTCCAAAAGGACTACACAGTGTCTGTTTCTTTTCTGCACAGGGCATGGTCGTCCAGGTTTCACTCAGCCTGTCCTGACCCATAGGCAGCTCCCAGTGCAAACTGTCCCACCAGGACAGAGCCTTCAGGTCTTCATGGTTTAGGCTGCATCCAGCCAGTTCCAGTCTGTTCCAAGGGGCCGCTGTGGTAGCTGATTGATTAGAAAAATCTAGATAAAGCCAACGATGTCCTTTGTCTACAAGTCGAATACAATTGAGACTTAAGCTTTGTGTAGTATTGCTGATTTCATAGCTGGAATACCCATCGCTTGGAAGTGTTTTCAAAGCTGTGTTTCACATTTGCCTTGTTTCTGCATTTTTGGCTCTGCATTGAAGGGGTTGACCCTTAAAGGCATGTTCTCTCAGTAGAGAGGAGACCCTTGTAGCCCTCTTAAATTCCTCATCCCACCTAAAGGCACAGGTAAGGGGCAGATATGGAGGCAGTCCATATTATTCCAGGGGAGGGGCCATTAGGGGAGTTGCCTTTTGTGGCCCTGTAATCCCAGTAATAGCAACCTTAGGCACCTCTTCTGGGTAGGAGGCCTGAGCCGAGAGCCCCAGCTTCACTTTTCTGCTTCTGGGCCTGGAGAAAAATGGAGGCCCAATCCTGCAACCTCCGTAGCATGTGGGCAGATGCTCTGGAGAGCCCCCATGAGTGCTGATTTTCCTTAAGCCGGGGGTGAGGGTGTGAGCAGAGCTACAGACCGGTTGGCATGGTCTGTGAGACAGTGGGTGGGATGGTGAGAGTCCCATGTCCCTGGGGCTGAGTTAGACCATTCGCATAGCTCGTGTGTGCAGCACAGCCGGCAGTCAGGTATGGGTGTGTGTGGCAGGTACCCCTGTAATTCTTTCCCTGAGAACACCTGCAACTGCTTTACTTTTCAGATCAGCCGGGAGATGATGGAGAAAATCCCAATACTGAGGAGCCTCCGTGCCCGAGAGCAGCAGGCTGGGAAGGATGTCACCCTCCAGGGTGAGCACCAGCATCCTCCGGACCCAGGCCGGCAGCAGACAGTGCCCCCAAGTGCTGGCAGAAGGCCCCAGGACACACCCGGGCCAGAAGCCAACTCTGTGGAGGCAGCCTGCGGCTCCCCACCAGGGGAGGGTGCCCCTCTTGCAGCCGATGTTTATGTTGGGAACCTCCCCCGGGATGCCCGTGTGAGTGATCTGAAGAGAGCCCTGCGGGAACTCGGGTCTGTGCCCCTGCAGCTCACGTGGGAGGGCCGGCAGCACAGAGCCTTCCTCCATTACCAGGACTCAGCCGCAGCCCAGCGGGCCGTCTCCTGCTTGCAGGGCTTGTGCCTGGGCACTGACACCTTGAGGGTGGCGCTGGCCAGGCAGCAGAGGGACAAGTGACCTCGTGGAAAGCCACAGAGCCCACTGCAGTGCGCCATTCCCATCACCTGCTGCTCCGGTTCGCGTGGCACTCGTGGCCTGTGTGGCGAGACGTGACGGAGCCTCTGTGTGAGCTGCTCGGGTCTCAGTGAATTCCCAGGACCTCCTGTAAGTGGGAAAGCCAGCCCGCAGTGCATCTCACACTGCGCAGGAGGCTGCAGCCCCCCGCTTGTGCAGGCCTTGAGCCAGTTTGTATTTCTCTGGAAGGACAGAGCAGACGGGCCAGGGACTGAGTGAGCAGCGAAGCAGGTGTGGGAAGTGTGAAGATGATCTTGGGTTTGCAGGGTGGCCTCAACAGAAGATGGACAAAGGAGCCAGCTTCCTAGAGGCTGTGGCAGGGACCTCACGCTGGCACAGAAGGGTGCCCCTGGGCTCCAGGCTTCTGAGCTGGCAGCACTGCAGGGAGAGCTCCGTTGACATCGCAGGAGCCCAAGGAGCTCCACCCCTGGGTAAAAAGCACTTGCTGCAGCTCAGCTCCATTCTCAGGCCACACTTGGGGGAGCCAGCCTTTCCTGGTCACCTCCCGAGCCATGCTCCTCCCTCTGTGGACACACACGCCAGGCCCTCAGCCAGCTGCCCTGCCCCGCCCACATGGGAGCAGCTTTGTGCTGTGGAGAGACTGGCTCTGGGAGGACAGGGTTCATCCCAGCCTCTATCACATTTGCCCATTGCCTTATGTTTTCTGGGTTTTGTTCCTCCAGTTCTGTTTCTGAAATGCCAGCTGGAGTTTGGCTGAAGGGTCCTTTCTCAACAGAAGGCTTTTTGCAATTGATCCTGGGCACCAGGTCAAAATAAGCATTTAAGGGGAGATTTTTTTAAATGTATATGCTTTGGAAATGGAGTTTTTAGCCAGAGGGTTTTCCTGAATGTTATTTTAAGCACCTTATTATGCCTCAAGAGGGCAGCCCTTGCATGCACTTAAAAGAACATGTTCTCAGGACACTTGGTCTCACTGAAAGGGCATTTTAAGGACATTTTCTCATTGGTTTTACCATGAAAATCCTGTGGAGACTTTGGAAAGAAAATGCAGCCTTAGATTTGCTCATTAACTACCGGTTTCCTTTCCAAGTTGTCATGAATAAAGTGAGGGAGTAGAAGCGTCTGACAGTGCTACCCTGGGCCTGCTGTGTCCTTGGCCTCGCCTCTGCCGGCACGGCTGGTCACGTTTGTCACTGGGCATTCGGCTCAGTGTCAGAAGCTGGCTCAGTCCCCGTTCAGAGGAGTCACCTAAACGGGGGGTGTTTGTTTTTTGTTTTGTTTTTTTTTTTTTAGAGTGCAGGCAGCATATGACAAGGCCACAGGTCATCCCCACAGCTCGTCTGCAGAAGCTCCTAAGCCCACCGTTGTCACTGCATGCGTTTCTGGTGGCCTTTGGTCAGTGGGCTGATCGGGGTGGAAAAGGGTCCATGGCTGATTACGCTGAACTCATCTTTTCTGTCTCTTTTTTTTTTTTAAAGAATATTTCTTTGATTGAAAGATTTCCATTTGTTTTTTTGTTTCCTTTTTCCCTGTGGATCTGCTGCCATTAGAATAGCAACTCCAGGAGAAGGGCAAGTGTGTCCGCCCCGCCCTGTCCGCTCCCTGCCCCGCCCGCAGCAGGAGCAGCTCCTGCAGGCAGGACTTGGGAATGGACCCACTGGACCGGTAGAGGGAGAAGCTGGGTTCTGACTCCACCACCGCCAACTCCTGTGTCCACCCCACCCTCAGACGGTGGCGTTCTACGAGTCAGGGAAGCCAGATTGCTGGAGTTTTCTGTCACTTTAGCCAGAATAATTCAGGTGTATTGATATATAGATAATTTGAAGGAGTTCCTCATTTTTCTATTTGTGGAACATCGTCTAAGAAAAGCTAAAGAGTAAGCACCTAAAATAAAATCCCCCACACGCGTTAGCCTGCACACCTTTCACTGTCCTGTCCTTCCAGGGAGGCCTGTGGGGACAGTTCTTGCATCGATTAATACTAAAAAGAAGTGCGTAGAACAGCATGGTTCTAGCTTCTGGAAAAGCATTCTCAGCGTCAGGAGGAAGCCCAAACCCCTGGCTTCCACGTTTCGTGGCTCCTCCCTGTAATCCCACCACGCTGCTCAGGAAAACGGGACACACCTGGCTGCGGACCCCAGGCGTCTTCTTACTGTGACTCCACCCCCTCAGGTGAGCGGCAGGGCTGTGACACAGGTGCTGGTGTTCCAGGAGCCTGCATTGACATTTGTGTGGTTTTTCACACGTGGTTTCTATGTGAAGTCAAGTCTGAGTGGTGTAAGTGGTTCCTAATCGTTTCTCGGTAATGTAACAGAAGTGATGGGTGATGGAATAAGCACCCCTGAAACCTTCTGTTTTTCAACGTGTTTGACGCGTCTAGTCCTGCAGTTTGTTGAAACTGATGTTCGCTTAGGCCTCCCTCTGTACTGCAGGAGGACTCTGAGCCAGCAGTGTGGGCCGGCCAGAAGGCGGCAGCAGCAGCCGCAGAATCGTCACACCACCTTCACCAAAGCACCACTGGGATTTCCGTGGCATCTTTTCTAATGTTTGTCATTATGCATAAGTGAGTTTTTTTCTTTTTTTAGTATTACTTAAATCATTTTTGGAACAATAGCCAGGATAAAAACATTCTATAACCTTTGTCTCCTGAAAGCAATTTCTAGAATGCTCAGGGCGAAGGCTTCATGTTCCACGTACACAGGCAAATACGTCTGTTCTTAAGTCTGGCTCCACAGGTTGGTTAAGCAGCCAAATTGCCCTGGGGGCTGGCCCCCAGCACACCCTCTCAACTCTGTAGGGAGGAAAAATGCTCTCCCCAGTTTTGCCAATGGAAAGACTGAGATGCCAAAGGAGGAAGTGACTTTGCCCCGGCCGGGTCCCACAGCCAGCTCTGGCAGAGCTAAGCCCAGTAAAGGTGACCTGCCCAAACATAGAACAGCCTGGTTCTAGCTTCTGGAAAAGCGTTCTCAGCTTTAGGAGGAAGCCCAAACCCCTGGCCCCATTTCTGTTCCACCTTTAATGGCTCCTCTTTGCAATCCCACCACACTGCTCAGGAAAACAGCTGGGACACACCTGGCTGCTGACCCCAGGGTCTGAAATAGGGTCGTCAGAGTCATTCCCTTCATCCGCGGCTGCGCAGTCTGGGGAGATCAGTTTTCCTGAAACATTTTTAGGCCCCAACGGCATCTGCGCAGAGTGGACAGCAGGTGGCGCTGCCTCCTTGCAGGAAAACAGACGAGCGCAAAAAATCCCTGGGGCGGGTCACAAGCTGCGCTGTAGGAAGGACCCTGGTGCTCGGCTGCCTCTGCCCTTCTTGCTGGCAGGGCCGCATGTCCCAGGCGGGGCCCGCTCAGCCTTTGGAAAAGGATTCTGACTGGCAAAAGGACACGGCTGTGCTCAGGAGACCTAAGGGACTTGTCAGGGTCCCAGACCTAAGCGGGGGTAAAGCTAAGACTTGGGCCCCAGACTCTCTGCCCCCAGAGCTGTGCCTGCCTCTCTCATTACTTCTTTCTCAACCAGCCAGATGGGCAAAGCTGGCACCCATCCTCGCAGCCACTGCAGCCCCTCAGCTCTGGCAGCAGCTGCCCCCTGCACTCAGGGGAAGTATCCTGTGGGCATTTTTGCCCCTGCTAGGTCTCAGCCAGTGGCCCACACACACCTCACCTCAGACACCCACATAGAGAAGGAAGTGGATGGAGAGACAAGACAGCAAATAGAAAGGCCGAGAACAGCAGCCCATCAGAATCACCCAGAAAGGGCCAGTGCAGAGACCACCATGAAGACTTACATTTTAGCAAAGCCATAGTGGGGAGGATGAATTGTCAGATGTGCGCAACGTTTAAAAGGAAGCGGGAAGATCCAGGTGTAGGCATGGTGGCCAATTTAGGGTAAACACATGGGCCCCTCCGGCCCCCACCACAGACATCAGTAATGGTTCCCGTGCCCTGCTCTTGCTAGCTGGTCTGCAGTGCCTTCCAGAATGCATTAAGGGCCATTACCTGCTGATGTGGACAGATGCAAAGCGTTCTGCCTTTTACCAAAGGAGCAAAGATGAGGGCTCCCTCCCCTCTCCTCTTCCCATCCTCCCGGGGATGGCCGGGCAGTGTCTCTCCCTCTCCCGCGGCCCTCAGGAAGCACCTGGTTTGCAGCTGACTCAGTTTCCAGAATTTTAATTATCACAGCCCTCTCCCCCCAGCTGAAATAACCAGTTGAGGCTTACCAAGCCCACTTTTCTCCATCCTGCTCCCTTTATAGATGTATAAAGTATGTGATGTATTTGTGTATAAAATACATTAAAGATAATAGCTACATAGATGACACATCATTTCACATAATCCTCGCAGTCACTTGAGAGGCCTACTTCACAGCCAAGGTAACTGAATTGCAGAGAGGAGTTCGTTTGCCCACCGTGCCCCTGTGTGCAGGGAGAGAAGCGCAGACTGCCACAGCAGCCGACCGCAGGTTGAGCCAGCAATGCCCCCGTGCCTGCCTTCGCTGGGGATCGTCCAGTGCTTGCCGCCTGAGGTAGGAATAGGCAGACAAAGCCAGGGATGTTTTCTAGAAAAGCAGGGCCCTGTGGAGGGGTGGGTGGCTTCCACCAGATCACAGGGCAGAGGCACGCTGGGGCCCAGGGCTGCTCCGTCAGAGTCCCCGGGAGTCCCTGTCTTTTCAACTCGATATCCCTGATAAGACTGATGTTTGGGCCCCAACAGCATCTGTGCGAAGTGGACAGCAGGTGGCGCTGCCTCCTTGCGGAAAAACAGCCGAGCAAAAAAAGCTTCAACTACGATCTGCACTTGTGGCCAGCCCGCCGTGCGACAGTCCCACACAGGCCTTGTCCTGTTGCTGGAAATAGCCCCGCATTTGATTGCATTTGTAGGTGGAGAAACTGAGGCATAGAGTATTGGCAGCTTGTTTCCTGGTGCATTTCAGAGAGGCAGGTTCAGCGGATCTGGGAGCCCCTCTTCTGTCCCCCTCTCCCCACCACCCACTGCTGCAGCAAGTCCCCTTGACTCTGCCAATCTCAGTGGCCATCCTGTGTTTTTACCGGAGATTATCTGGGCACTTTTTCCAATAAGCAGAGACGTTCAGGGAACCACATTCACATTCCCATGAACACGGCAGGACTTTACCCTGTGAATGGAACCTTTTATTCTTGATGTCCATAAATCGCAAAGCTCGGAATGGAGCTGATGTATGACTGCGTGGTGTGGGCATTTGGCACTCTGAATGGCTTAGCAACAATGAACCCAGGCCTTGAGTGCTGAATTGTGAGCAAATTAAATGTCCCCGCCCACCTTGGAGGGCAAATTAGCTCACTTAAGCCTTACAAGAGTCCCAGGAAGCATGTACTATTGTTTCCATTTTCCAGATAGGAAAGGTGTGGCTCAGAGAGGCTCTGTGACTCCCTAGGGTCTCACAGCAGAGTCAGCCATGGCGCCAAGCCCCTCCCTGCGGGGTGGGGGAAGGCTGTGCTCCTGAGAAACACCGAGCGTTCATCTCTTGACCACAAGCAGGGCCTCAGGGATAACGAAGCCGTCAACAGCTTGTCAGAACAGAGAGCTCATTTAATGGTTGAAGAGTACCGTGCTGGAGCCAAGCACACCAGGGTTTGCACCATGTCCTGGCTGTGTGGCCTCGAAGTGCTTGCCCTCTCTGTGCCTGGTTTTTTCACTGTTAGCTCTTCACAGATTATTCACTGATTTAACCCTCACAGCAATGCTGTGGGAAGCCTGCTCTGACCATTATCCCCACTGTACAGATAAGGAAGCCGAGGTGAGCAGAAGAGAGACACCTGTGCAGGTGCACAAAGTTAAGAAGCGGTGGAGCTGGGACTCTAACCCAGGCCCTCCGACGCCAGTGCTCTGATCCGATAACTATATCCCTTATCTGCTCCACCTGGAACCACGGGGTCTCTGCGGGTGCAGAGAGACCTGTGGCCAACACAGCTGTCTCACTTCAAGAATGGGGTTGGGAGTCAGTTTTACTTCTTCGTATCACTTTTTCTAAAGTTTTATTATTTTTTTAATTTGGAATAAGCCACATCATTTGTGTTAGTTAGAAAAAGACTACAGTAACTGACCCCCTGACCAAAAAAAATAAAAATAAAAAAAATTAAAAAAAGACAGTTACCCATTATAAAAGGTCAAAGGGTCTGAAACAGGGTAATCAGGTTTATTCTTCGCATCCGCGGCTGCCCAGCCTGGGGAGATCAATTTTCCTGATGAGACTAATTTTTAGGCACGGCATCTGCGCATAGTGGGCAGCAGGTGGCGCTGCCTCCTTGTAGAAAAACAGTCGAGCGCAAAAATCCCTGGGGTGGGTCACAAGCTGCCCTGCAGGAAGGACCCTGGTGCCCTGGGCTTCCTCTTTTGTTTCTCAAGGGGGTCCTTGACCCTGAGCTCTCTCCCTGGGGTGTGCATCGCGGCGAGGGCCCCTGGGAAGTGAGCTGGTACTGCCGTCCTGTCCCCATAGACCATGTTTGCTGTGGCCTCACCCATCCTCCCCTGCCTGCCTGCCTCCCACTTTGCTAAGGGTGCAGCTAATTTAAGGTGATAAGCTTACATTAAGGCTGCTTCACTTATTTAAGCCTCTCACAGCAATGCTTTGGGAGGCTTCTGTACCTGGACAGAGACGGCAGAGACTGCAGTGAGGCAAGTATTCACTTATTGAAGCTTCATTGCTGTAAGACTTATAAATAAGTGAAGAATTTTTGCTCACCCAAGCTGGTGACCCTGCAGAGGATCACAGCAGAAAGCCAGGACCGGCCTCACGGAAACATCATGCACTGATTGATCTACAGCATGTTTTGGGGGAAGTATCCAAACAGAAATGTGTCTGTCCTCTTCCAGGGACGTTTGCAGACTCAGCACACTTCCCGTGGCCCAAACCCAGACCTGCTGGGGAACACGGAGTTGGG